CTTTTTCACATATTGACTGCGTTTTCATTTTTTTGACAGTCTATTTATAGGCCAAACCATTGTTGCACAGGGGCCTCCTCATCTATCTCAGAGCACTGCTTAACACATATTTGTGAGTAGGCCCCCTGCAATTAGACTTATAATTTTACTGCAAACTGCATGAACTGAAAATGGCTCAAGCTGTCCTGAATTAAACCTGACCAGAAGTAGGGTGTTGTACAAATTATCTAATTAAATTGAGAATCTGGTTTTGATTAAAAAGCCACCAATTGCTGGGTGCACAAATTCAAAAATCACACAATACCAGGTTCTAGCCCAGCAGGTTTACTTGAAATCACAAGCTTTCGGAGCGCCCCTTCATCAGGTGCAGGGAGAGGACAGCACGCAGACACAGAGTTCACAGGCAGAGGGATTAAGGGCAGAGAGATTAAAGGATCATACAACTGGTGTGAGTGGAGTGAACAAACCTAAAATGGCTGGCTAGCTGCCCCCTGTTGAATCTTTAATCATTCATACATTCCTGCATTCTAGAAATTGCAGCAGCAGGATATGGAGAACTGTTAGAAAGGAGATGCAAGTTTTGACTGATTGAGATGCTGATTGCAGAATCTGTTTCAAGTCACTCCTGGTTTTATTCATAAAGCAGGAATTTATAAAATGACACACTGACTGATTGCGACTACAAACTGTGTGTTTCTTGAACAAAACAGAATGTATCTGCAAATAAACAAACATTTTTGATTAAAAGATTCACCCCATCGGTTTATATGCATGCACGCGCGCATGTCTGTGTGGGCGCGCGGGGGAGGGTGAGAGAGCGAAAGACAGCGTGCGAGAGAGAGAGAGCGCGCAAGAGAGAGAGAGAGAGCGAGTGCGCGAGAGAGAGAGATGGGAATATTCCCTTCCAGTCGTGGAACACTTCAGCGGTCAAGGCATTCAGCCTCCGATCTTCAGGTAGGCGACAGACTTTGGGATATACAACAATGCTGAATCGTTGAGCAGAGACTGGTAGCTAAATTCCGTACCCATGAAGACGGCCTCAACCGTGATCTTGGGTTCACGTTGTGCTACAAGAGACCCTACCACATTCTTCTGTTTCCGGTTCACGTTGTGCTACAAGAGACTCTACCACATTCTTCTGTTTCTGTAAAATCTTCCTTACTGTCCTGTTTTGACAGCATTACCTTGATAAATTGTTATGATCTCTCTACCTTAATTGGTTCGTACAATTTTGGAATACTTATTACACTCTCTCAAGCACACACACACACACACACACACACATTCTCTCTCTTTCTCACACACGCGCGCACACATAAAAATACCTGTGGGGTGAATAATTTCATCCAAGATTTTTGTTTATTTGCAAATACATTCTATTTTGTTCGAGAAACACACAACTTGTAGGCACAGTCAGTCAGTGTGGCATTTTATAAATTCCTCCTTTCAGAATAAAAGCAGCCTGATGCCAGGTTAAAACTCTGAAGGAGATCCAAAACAAGGCCTCACACCTACAAGTCAGGTCTGGCCTGAGATGTCACCTTTTGTATATTCCTATCGCTCTGCCTGATTGAAGTTTGGGAAGTTAAGCAGACTCTGATAAAACCTTTAATTATCTTGGGGATGTGACTTGAAACAGATTCTGCAATTAGCATCTTAATCAGTCAAAACTTGCATCCCCTTTCTAACAGTTCTCCATATCCTGCTTCTGCAATTTCTAGAATGGAGGAATATATGAATGATTAAAGATTCAACAGGGGGCAGCTAGCCAGCCATTTTAGGTTTGTTCACTCCACTCACACCAGTTGTATGATCCTTTGATCTCTCTCTGCCCTTCATACCTCTGCCTATAAATTCTGTGCCTGTGTGCTCAACTCTCACTGCACTTGACAAAGGGGCTGCACTCCAAAAGCTTGTGATTAGTATGATTTTTGACTTTGTCCACTCTAGACCAACACCGGCACTTCCGCATAATTGCTGTGTGGTGCAGCTAAAAAGAATGTGGAAAAAAAGAATCCTTCCAAGTAGTTTTGGCCAGGGCAACCATTCCTCCAATGGAACCATAAAGATTCTCCTGCATTAAATAAAGTGTGGCAGAGGGCCAGTTTGGCCCTTTGTTCTAGAACCCAAGATCTTACATCCCTTTAGTTTGACTAATTCCTTTGAAATTTGTATTTTGCTTATCCCTGCTGATTGCAAAATCCAAGCTAAAATAACAGCTGTTGCCAGTGACTTTGAAGAAATCTGCCACCAAGATCTCACAATTACTATGAAGCATGGATTTCACCTTTCCTGAAGTTAATTTAAACCTGGTGCCAGAACTAAGCAAGTCCAAGCATGCAGCAACAACTATGCCATCAAGCAGGGCAGACAGTCAATCGGATTGTATAATTTTACAATAAACTTGGAAGCAAAATATTAATTTCCTAGAAATTTTAGTAAAAATGACACTTCAGAAACTGAAATATCAAAAACTTAAAGCTACAATAAATCATAATAGAAAAACTGCATAAAACAAATAAAACATTAGGTTTGCAGGACCAAAAAGCTATCCAAGAGAGTTATGACTTCATAGGTAATTAAAAGTGATTACTCTGCATTAACAAGGAGTTTTCGTATAAAAGGGTAGGTTGTCAGTTCAGTGATTTCTAAAGATTTTTTTCCACAAAGACCAAGAGCACATCCTGCAGCTAAGCAAATAACCACTAACACATTCAGGTTTTCTACATTTAACTGAACTGTGGATGCCAGATATTTTGTTTCAAGAGGGTAATGAAGTTGAAAGGTGACAACATTGCCATCATTACAACAGAATTGTCTGAAACCAACTGAGGTTGGACCCTGTCCTTAACATTTTTTTTTCCTTAATTCATTCATGGGATGTGGGCATTGCTGGCTAGGCAGCATTTATTGCCCATCCTTAATTATCCAGAGGGCAGTTAAGAGTTGACCACATTGCTGTGGGTCTGGAGTCACATGTGGACAAGACCAGGTAAGAATGGCAGTTTCCTTCCCTAAAGTAGCTTAGTGAACCAGATGGGTTTTTCTGACAATCAGCAATGGATTCATGGTCATAATTTGACTCTTAATTTCAGATTTTTTTTATTGAATTCAAACTTCACCATCTGCCATGATGGGATTTGAACCCTGGTTCCTGGATTAATAGACCAAAAGTAATACCATTAAGTCATCACCTCCCGCTGATCTTATGTAAACATTTAAATGAAACAATTGTTAAGTATTACTCTCAATTCAGGCAAGATGACACTATTTGTAAAAAAACTACTTTTGTATCACCTTAAATAATTTACTTGCTTGCAGAAGACAGTCAATAACAACCGCAATGGATTACTTAAGGAAGTCACTTCACTTCAAGTCAGTGACTATAATTAATCAAGCACTCCAAAGTTCTGTGCAGCCTTGCAGAGTTGTCAAGAATACAACAAAATAGGAGCTGAAGTAAACCATACAGCCCTCCAGTCTGTGCTACTATTCAAACTAATTGTGCTGATCTTCAGTCTCATTTCCGCTTGTTCACACTCTTCACAAACCCCTCAATTTCAGGTGGGACCTAAAAGCTATCTACAAGGCAGCCGGCAATTTTGCTTCCTAGTTACTTAGTGTATCTGCACCTTAACGGTGTGGTGTTGCATCAGCACAGCCTCTCAACATCAACATTTATAAATGTCGCACATTTTAGAAACAATTCTGCTTTTGATTTTAAGTTACATAAATTGATGCCCCAGAGTGTTGAGAGACAGAGCAAGAGGGCAATAAAAGGGGACAGGATACATAACAATAAGGAAAGGAGAAAGAAAAGAACAATGATAAAGTCAAGTCAAATACGACAACTGCAAATGCACTTTCCCAATCTCCATTCGTCCCATGCCTTAGTCACAGATCCTGGTAACTTTTAAAGCACAGGACCCATTTTGAAAAGAAGGATGGTCCAACCAATTCGTGACAATACTAAACATACTGGTTCTGTGGAGTGCATTATTTTGGATAGCCATCTTGCAATAATGGAATCCACCACTGAGTACATAAAAATTTCATTGAAATCTGTGCTGCAAAAGTCGATCAGATACTCCAGACGGAATTCAGACAGGTTATTTCTTCCAAATTTGACAGCGTTTAAGTTCACAGCTCATAATCATGAGGTCCATGCTTTCTCTTGCATCATGCAGTCTGATGCACTCCAATCAGAACACATTATGAATCAGTGACTTCTCATAGGGAAGATTATACTTATATCCAAGAATGGCAATACATCCAATCTCTTTACCAGAACTGCCTGAAGTAGGCAGGGATGCCAAAATGGCCACTGCTGAAGTTGATTCAAGAAAGTCCATCTCAGAACACCAGCTTGAGAGGCAAGTTGCAGGCAAAACCATCTTAGCTATGTTGTATTGTAGGTTTCTATTAAGCTACTTGAAACAATGCTTTGTTACATTGCATTATACCAACTCATGCAAATGCCAGCACATTATATTAGTGTTCAGCTGGTGCCATGGGCATAGTGCAGCTAATGATGTTTAAAACAAGTTGATTACCCAGCAACCACCTTGAGACTCAAAAAAGCACACTCTGTTAAGAGTACCCAATTGTAGTCAAGACAGCTCTTACACTAAACATTGTTACATCATAAATAGTTCCATAAATAATAAGTCAACACAGATGAACTACAGAAAGATTCATAGTAGATAGGAATATTCAAGGAAATGTCATTATGTGCACAAACATCTGGCATCATGCCTTGAGAGAAGTCTCCATTGTATTTTTCTCCCTGTTGATGACTTCAGATTGCATTCACTTCACATTCTACTAAGGGCCAAGAATTTGTGTTGTTTCAGTAAAAATTGAAAATATAAACTTAAACATTCTTATAGGCATAGTTAGTAAAATTAAGAAATCACTTAGAATACTAGAAATAAACAACAATTCATGCACCTGTAAAGTCATTCATATTTTGAAACAATGTTATATGCATTAATACTCACATTTTTATGGGGAGGTGGATCCGGAGGCATTGAACCAGGAGTCAACACTGGTGAGCTGGCAGGGCTGCACAGTTCTGGAAAAGGGTTTGGAATGGCGGGCAAAGATGATGTACGGAATTGATCATCTTCTTGAAGTCTTCTGTACATTAAGATTGAAAGATTGTACACAAAAATTGAGTTGAAAAAGTCACCAAAGAAAAATTAGCAAAACCCCATCGCCAGGATTTATATCATTCTACCACCTGCAGTACAATTTTTTTGAGAAGTAATTGATAAGAGTACCAGAAACTCTATTTTAATACCATGCTTTACACCAATTCAGGTAGATGCCAGCACATTACATCTGTGCTCAGCTGGTGTGCTCAGTTTTTAAAAATATTTCAAATCAGCAACATCAAAAACAGAATTTAGTGTTAAACATCAAATCAAACAGTTGCAATTACATAATTTGCAAGTAGAAGCAAACTATAGTTATCAGCTGTGAGATGGCTTGCAGTAATTCATTGGACCATCACAGCACGAAACAAAATACTTGTCTGATCACAGCACTTCGAAAATTTTGAGAAGTTGGTTGTGAGGAAATTTTAGAGACAATAATTTGGGACAGAATTAATAGTCACATGGACAAATATGAGTTAATTAAGGAGAATCAGCATGGAACTTTCCAAGGGAAAATCGTGCTAAACTAACTCAAAGTCTTTTGAAGAGCTAACAGAGAAGGTTGATGATGATAATGCTGTTGAATAGGTGCACATGAATTTCCAGGAAGTATCTAATAGTACCATACACTAGATTTGTCAGCTAAGTAAGAGCTCATGAAATAAAAGGGATACAAGCAACATGGACACAAAATTGGTTGAGCAGTAAGAAACAGATTTAATGGGTATTCTTAAAACCGAAAGATGATTTGTAGTGGAGCTCTCCAGGGGCCAGCACTGAGACACTTACTTTTCCGAATTGATATTAACGATCAAGACCGTGTTGTATCAGAGTAATTACTCTGACTACTAAAACGACTGCTGATCCACATGCAAATTGATCTGCCGAAATCAGTGAGCATATGCATACACAGACCTAAGTTTATCTAGACTATTTCTTTTTCATATATTTCTTCTAATGATGTTCACAGATCTGCACAATTTTAATGCAAAGAGAGCTGTTTTCGTGAGTATTGAAACCTTTTCAGGAAAGGCATGCAGTCTACAAACTATATACACTTAGCCATAAGAATCTGTTAACCCAATGGTTAGAGATGAGCAAAGCAGGTTTGAAACAGTCAAAAAAAATGACTGATCCTTCTCTCTAAAACATATGCATAGGTTGAACGCTGTGCTTCAGGGATTGCAGCTGCACTGCTCTTACTGTTGTTCCTGTCCCTCGGACTAATTGCAGACTGGGGACGAACCACGCATGGATGGCTGCTCAGGCGCCAGCTTCAAATACCACAAACGAGCAGTGAGATTATATGGACAGTGCCATAATTGTTTCTGGTAGCTGCCATTCCCTCACTAACATAGCACTGCAAACCTGCGTTTCAGCACGTGTGATCACTGCACACTGAGCAGCGTCAGTGATAATATATGCAGTCTTGTTGAACAGGGGACAATTTCAAAGTCTATGAACACCACAAAAGTTGAAAATATGTAAACTGTGAAGACAACAGTGTAAGAGTTCTAAAGGGCATTGACAAGTTGCGGGACTGGGCAACAAACAGTAAATGCTGGAGAAACTCAGCAGGTCTCGCAGCATCTATGCGGGGGGAGAGAAAGACAGCAAGTTATTGTTTCAATTACAATACAACTCTCCTTCTGAAGAATCATATCAGGCTCGAAATGATAACACTCTCTCTCCCTCTACAGATGCTGCCAGTCAAGCTGAGTTACTCCAGCATTTTCTGTGTAGGAGATTTCCACAGTATTTTGGTTTTATTTGGTGGAATGAACGGATAGAAAGCAAACAAAATTCAATGCAAAGAAGCATGAGGTGACAGATTTCAGTCAGAAAAGCATGGAGAAATGGCATATAATACAGTCCCACAAGGGAGAACATCTGATCAACATCCACCTTATCAATCCACTTTAGCATTTTATGCACCTCAGTCAGATCCCCTCCTCAGTCTTCTGAACTCCAGCGAGTACAAGCCCAACCTATTCAACCACTCGTTGTGCAACAGCCCCTTCAACCTTGGAATCAACCTGGTAAACCTCTTCTGAACTGCTCCTGCGCCACCACATCCTTCCTCATGTAAGGAAGCCAAAAGTGGACACAATACTCCAGGTGTGGTCTCACCAACACTTTATATAACTGAAATGACACTTCATTACTTTTATAATCCAGCCCTTTTGCAATAGATGTCATTTGCCTTTCCTATTCTCTGCTGCATCTACATACCCTCTTTCTGTGATTCATGCACAAAGATACTCAGATCCCTCTGCACTGATGCACTTTGAATCTGATTCCCATTTTAATAACAATTTGCCCTTTAATTTTTCCAGCCAAAATGGACAACTTTGCATTAATCAACATTAAACTCCATCTACTGGATTGTGGCCCATTCTCCTTGTGTATCAGTATCCACCTGTAAACTCTATCACCTCATAACATAGCCTGCTTTCCCACCTATTTTACTATCATCTTTGAACTATGTTATGTTTCACCCTGTCCCTGTCTGCAAATCATTGTTATAGACTGTAAATAGTTCAGGTCCAGGACCCAGGTTTGAATCCGACCACGGCAGATGCTGAAATTTGAATTCAATAAATTTCTGGAATTAAGAGTTAAATGATGACCACAAAACAACTGTTGATTATCGTAAAAACCTGATTCATACACGTGCTTCAGGTGAGGCCTAGACGGGACTCCAGAGCCACAGCAATGTGGTTGACTCTCAAATGCCCGCTGAAATGGTCTAGGAAGCCACTCAGCTGTAACAATCACTATGAAGTCTCAAAAAAGAAATGAAAGCAGACAGTCCACCAGGCATCAACCTTGGCATCAGAAACAACAACGGCAAAAACAGGCTTGTTAAACATGCAAACTCCTCGCTAACTCTGGGGGTGAGGGCCATAATTGGGAGAGCTGTCTCAGACCAGTCAAAACAGCCTAATAGTCATACACATGGATAGTTTCCAGAACTATAACTATCCCTGGCTCAGCACAGCTGGAAGCACGGCGATACATAGTTGTGTGGGTGTTGCCCTGGGAGCACTCAACATTGGCTCTGGACACCACAGAGTCTCATGGTCTCGAGTCAAACACAGACAAGGAAATCTCCTATTAACCACCACATACAGTCTTCCCTTGGCTGATGACTTTGTGCTTCTCCATGTTGAGAAATACTTAGAGGAAGCACTGACGATGCCAAAGGTGTAGAATGTACTCCAGGTGTGGGATTTAAGTGTCCACCACCAAGAGTGGCTCAGCAGCAGCACTACTGATTGTACTGGTTGGGTCCTAAAGGACATTGCTACTAGACTGGGTTTGTGGCAGGTAAAGGAAGCAAAAGTGGGCACATTTGACCTCGCCATTCCGCTTGCTGTGGACGCATCTGTTCTTGAAAGTACTTATAAGAGTGATCATTACACAGTCGTCATGGAGATGAAGTCCCACTTTCACACTGATAATACCTTATATCGTCACCATGCTAAATGGGATGGACTTTGAACAGATCTAGCAACACAAGACCGAACATCTATGACATGCTGTGGACCACCAGCAGTAGGAAGATTGTACTTGAACACAATTTTCAATCTCATGGCCCAGCATAACCTCCAGATGACCATTATCATCCAAGCAGGGGATCAACTCTGGTTCAATGAAGATTGCAGGAGGCTATGTCAGGAGCAACAACATGCACACCTAAAAATCAGCTGTCAAACTGGTGATGCTAGAAAACGAATAAGTTTTTTAAAAAGCTGCAGTATCATGTATAGTCCTGGGTCCAACACGCTGTAAGGCTGTGAACGCATTGGATAACATGTGGAAGAGGTTTACAAAATAGTTTGAGGGGTAATAATATTCAGTGATAAAGAGATAGAAGTTAGGACTGAGTGGAGACAGCAAAGAGGAGATCTGATGCAAGGTTTCAAAATCATGAGGGGGCTGGACAGAACAGGTAGGGAATAACCTGTTCCCACTTGTGAATGGATCAAGAACCAGAGGGCACACAAACCAGCACATGCAGTGTGAAAAGAACATTTTCACACAGTGAATAGTTAGGGCTTGCAATGGAAGGCTGGAATTGCGGTGGAGGCTTGTTCAGTCAAATCATTCAAGACGACATTAGATGATTATTTGAACAGAAAACAATGAGCAGATTTACAATGAAGAGGAAGCAGAATGGCACTAAGTCATAATGTTAATTCAGTCAGTGTTTGCAGACACAATGAACCAAATGACCTCTTCCTGAACTGTAACAAGTCTCCAAATCTGTGACTTTCAAATAAACACTGAAGGAACACCATTTTATGACTGAGAGAGGAACTTGCAGGTGGTGTTGCTCCCAAGAACCTGCGATCAGTGTTCTTCAATGGTGACAGAGGGGTCAGGATTTGCAAGATTCTGTCAAAAGACACTCGAGTTGCTGTAGTACATCTTATGATGGTAAGCACTGCAACTACTAGCAGAGAGTGTGAAGGTTTAAATAGTTGTCTTGTCCTGGACCATGTCAAATTTCTCAAATAATGTTGGAGCTGCACTTTTCCAGGCATGTAGAGCACTTCATCACACTCTAGATGGTGGATAGGCTCTGGTAAGTCAACAAATTGAGTTATTTGCTGTACAATTCCAAGGTTTTGATTTGTTTCTGTAGGCATAGTATTTATGCCTTGTCCTGATATGTTTCTGTTCAACGATATCTTCCCCCATAATATTGATGACGGGGAATTCAGTAATGGTAATGCTACTGGTCATTAACAAGATGCACAGATCTGTTATATTAGAGATGGTCATTGATAGACATTTTAGTTCATGCCCTGATTTGTCCAAGTTTTCTGGATGTGGGCAACGCTTCCTCACCTCTGCAGTGCTTAGTCCTTTTTTACAGTTCCATTCAGCAAATAACCCCAATTTTGGAGAGAAAATGACTGATGAAAAGGCTGAAGACGCCCATCCCCAAATAATTCAAGAAACTGTGCCCTG